AATCCACAATCAATTACAAATTAAATTACAAATTTCAAGAATCTGCAAATAAGGTGGTCTGTCCTCATGAGCAATGTAAACAACATTGTATCATTTAGATACCGAAAGTACAATATATTGAACACTGTGCTGCTGTCATTTCCCCCTAATGATAACCTGAGATGGGGAATTATAACTCACAATGAAAATTGTTCAGGAAAGTGGGTATAGAGTAGACATGTCGAACTAGATAAGCTTATGATAAGCCAGCCTTGTCTACTTATTAAGGAAAAGTGGGAGGTTCTTTTTAATGAACAGTAGCTTCTCTGCTTTATCAGCCATAAGTCTGTTCCTCTTCTCATCAAGCACATGAGAGGCAGCGCTGAACAGTCTCTCGCTGTCAGTGCTTGTGATTTGATCTTACTCCGCATATTTGTCCGGGTGTTTTGATTTCAAGTGGTGGAGTAATCCCGAAGTGGTGAAAGTCTTTGCAGTTACACCCCCTCGAGAAATGTCAGCTGAACACGTTTTACAAATCGCAATCCGCGCCTCTTTCGCTGATATTTTTAAATATCTCCAAGCGGCAGACATGTTGGCTGTGAGCCAGCCGCGAGCATGGTCGCGCGCCGTGCTTGTCGCCGCGTTTTGATTACGTCATCACAACAACACGTTAGCTTACCAACGTAACCCTGTTCTCTGACATTCGGTGATATTTTTTCGGTGCTAGAACCCTTTCGGCCGAAAGCCGAAAGGGCCTTTTTAACCATTTTCGGCCGATAATTTTCGGGGGCCGAATATTCGGTGCATCCCTAATATATATCAATTATATATTTTTATATATCTATGTTATTGTATTCGGGATTGTGGGAAACAGTATTTCGATCTCTCTGTCTGTACACACAAACTGAAAGATTGACAATAAAGTTGACTTTGATTACTTTTTTGATAACAACCTTTGTATTATTCGTAACCCATCTGAAGCGATGGATTCATTACGACGCTGTAGGCGGTTCACTCAGAAAACATTTCAAAGCCTTCAGCAAAGACTGACCTGGACTGTTTGTTCCTTTTGGGGTCCTCTGCAGCAAAGATGTGCACGGTGCCATGGTCACTGGACACACAGATCAGAGACGCATCCTGGTTGAAATTAATGCTAAAAATGACAGAGCAGAAGGAAATAATGAGAGGAAGAGTGTTCATTAGAGTCAGTCATGTGCGGATGAACACATGAGAAAATATGAAGGTGACACCGCTTACCTGTTGTAAAAGCCTGACCTACAGAATTACTATAGGGGAAGTCTGGTATTACCATCAACGTCCATTCTGAGTGAGTCAACATGGTTTAAAACTTAGTAAGTTCCTGTTGAGGGCAGCTGGCTAGGTCATGTGACCCCCGCCCTGCTGACTGCAGCACTCTGCAGTACGGCCAATCACACATGCATTCAACTGTTTACTAACTACTACATTGAAAACAAAGCATATGGAGATAACTTCCTGACAAAACTCCACTAACAAACTAAACATGTTTTACAAACCGACAGACAAAGTGTGGTTTGCAAATACAAAACACCATCTACAAACTAATGCATTTTGTTTTGCAAATGAAAAACATATCCATCAAATAAACACATTACACAAATAGAGTAATGGGTAAAAACAGGAGAGAGAGAGAGAGGCTACAGTGAATGCTTTGAGGGGAAGATGTGAACAGTATTATTGGTCAATGCTCACCAGTAGATGCTAGCTGCCTGAGAGCCACGCCTCAGCTCCTGTATGAGCTGCCCTGCAGATGTGTCAAAGATCCTGATCAGAGTCCCCTGTGGAGACAACACGGATCTGTCACAAAGCAGCAACAACACTAAAAACACAAACACTGAACATTTAAATTCCCTTATTGCTAGCTTGGCTTACTTTTTCTGATGCAGTAGCTATCCTTGTACCCTGCAGATTTAGAGCAATGCAGCACAGCGCCCCCTCGTGGGCAGGGATGTCCACCGGGGGCTTCTCTGTGTTGGCCAGGTCCACTATCTGCACGTGGCCTGAGTGAGTGCCAGGGAAGGCCAGCAGGGAGTTGTTGCTGTTGGGACACAGCACACACAGACCTGGGGGGGAACAGGTTGGTTATAATACGCACCACATTTATACACACTCTTTCAATGGAAAGTCGGATGGTTAGCGTCTTAAATCAGTGGGCTCACCTTTGGGATTATAGCAGGTCTCGAACACATGCAGCTGATGGGGGTTGTGGGTAAAGGTGAAGACTTTGATCATTGAGTCCAGGACCACCACGATCCTGAGAGCAGAGGAGAACCAACACACAAGCTGCCAGTTTAACTCATGTGAAGACTTCACTCAAACAGCATAGCAAAAATAATACTAATGCTGCCATGGTGTTGCTGAAATAAATGTCCCCAAAGCATTGACAGAAGACTTTCAGTGGACAGTTCCAGCAGCTTTACCTGTCACGCCGAAGCTTCACTGCTTTCACTTCTGTTGAGAACTCAATCTCAATTACTGTCTTCTTCTTCAGGTCATCCCAGATCATCACTAGAGTACCAAAGAAAATCCCATGAATAAAGTGTATGCTAGTTGGTCAATTGAATATATTATCACACTGGCCAAAGTATGATAATGATATCAAACCAGTAAGGATGACATTACCTAGCAGGATGTGTCATTAGATCACATGTCTTAGTACTTACTGGCTGTATAGTTACTAATCATATTATTAATTCCATTAACAATTAATTTAAATTAAACCTGGATAATCAGCAGAGCATCGATTCGTTGGATTACCTAATTAACAAATGATAAATGAACTTAAAGGGAACATGTGAAAAAAAAACTCAACAAGCCATGCAGGCTCGTTAGAATATATGAGATCAAAACCAACGGCTGAAGAGCTACATTCACAAGTTTTCTCGTAATGCATTTACAGCAGACAGAGGGGGAATAAAGGTATATTCAGAAAGACAGCATGAGAAAAATATTTCATTATTAAAATTAATAATGATGTCCCCTGTAAGTTCAATGTAGGTTTTAGTCAGAGGAGCAAGCAAGAGAAAATGTCTCTGACTTTGAAAATGTAAAGTAGGAATTAACTTTACCTGCAAATGAAACTACATTCCATTATTTGTCAGAACCAACGCCGGCTTAAAGTCCAGTATAAAAAGATTACAAGACAAAACCTACCTTTGTTGGTTGGGTACTTTGGCTTCTTCCCTCCTCCCACTAGTGCTAAATAGTTACACCTGAACAGCATCTCCACATGGCCGACCCCCCCCTCCAGGAACTCTGAAAGTCAATGTAATTGGGAGAGCACATCAGTTAAAAATATCTCCCCCCTATGTGCAGCACACGTCGAGCGAACTGCTTCAACAGGCTTTAAAGACTGTGCTCAAAGAACTGCACATGGATCAAGTCAGTGAAAAAATGATTTAATAAACAGATTTGGTCCATCGAGTATTTGCCACGTTAGGAAAAACTGGAGAATGTCATGTGCTAAATCACATTCGAGTCCTGATGGGGAGAATCTTCCTCTTTTATCACTCCGTGTTTCAACATTGTTCAACAAGCTGAGTTTGTTGGTTTGAAGAATATTCCTGCAGTCATCATCAGCCAGTCTACGGCATATTATTCCTACATGACAGTTACATTCAGTGGCGACTCGTCATTAGGGGCAGGCACAGCCCCACCTACAGTTAGCAGAAAATAATAAAAATAATAATTCCAAAAATATGTATAAAATATATCCTAAAATAAGATCCTGTTTAGTTGTCTGATTCGTCTGTACATTGCTGTTTTAGTCTGCGTTCTTCTAATTAGTGTCTATAATACAGTGTGCCTATTGAGCCGGGCTGAGCGATGTGGGGCAAGCTCCGATCTGCCCCTCTCTCTGCTGTCAAAATGAACGTGTACTGTGAAAACTACACTGCGCATGCTCCGAGTATTTTTGTATTCAGTGTGTGCGGCAAAATAATTATCACCAGTGGAGCAAAGTACTGGCAACCCCACCAAAACGTCATTTCATAATTCAGAGCTGATTGGCTGTAAGTATGTGTGCCGCGAACAGTGTAGTTGTGAAGAGGAGAGAGAGCAGCGTAGAGCTCACATCAACAGCGATTACACTCAGTCTGAACTATAGAAAAGCCTTAATTAGCAATGTGCTGTAACTACACAAACTGCTCAATTAACAGTTAGGGGTGCACACCCAAACAAAACGTGACCAACGTGAAATGCGTTCGAAAGACACAAACGTTTGAGTCTGCAGAGCTGGTACCTTGCTTCTCCTTCTCTTTAAGAGGATCTGTGTTGTACACACGGAACCCGTTCTCCATCCCGCAGGCAAAGCATCCTGCAAACACAAAAAGAGATGAGACATCTACACTGAGGATAATATTATTCAACATTATTCAAATATATTTAAACCTTAACAGTAATGACAACACACATAATGAGGACAGCATTACAGTGGTAAAATAGCTGACAGAGCAAGGATTAACAAATCATTAACTTTGGTGCAGTTCATGTAAAACTGGCACACCGTTATTAGAAATATGATGACAGTGATGTAAAATGTTGGAGAGATTACATAGAGTCTTTGGTCACTTTGCCTTGATAACATCACACTAACGTAACTGGAGAGTCTAGTTGGCAACAGTCAATTACTATAATGATGTTAATGTTACATGTATATAAACGAATACGTTTACTTTACGGCCTGTCGAAATGTGTAGTGATGGTGGGAGATATACATGTAAACAGTTCTGAGTTTAACTACGGACGTGGTTGACATAACATTTACTTCTGAAACTATCCTTCTTTTAAAATACTTGGCAGAAGCAAACACAAAATTAGCCCAGTTACACGGTAATAACTGTGAAGCTAATCGCACAGTCTGTTAGCTAGCTAACCAGCGCTAGGTGTGGTAACCAGGGCTCTGCTTGTATTGTGATATTTAACAGGCGCGTTAGCTTTTAAATTAACATTAGCTACATTGACCATTTTAACTTTCAACATACTGTTCTTATTGAGGGAGCACGTGTTAATGTCTGAATTATGGTTGGCTGATTAATTTGGCTGAAAACCAAAAAGCTAGCTAAGTTAGCTGGCTAACTGACGTAATTGGCCAGCAAAACTAACACTAAGGTAACGTTTAGTACATTCAAGTTACCGTTTCTGGAGATACAATGTAACCACTACATAGCAGCATTAACGGTAACCTCAAGAGCATAGACATTTCAAATGTGTCGTTAGATAATGCTAAGCTTAATTTAGCAGCTTTAGCATAGCATCTACGACACTTCCAATTTCCAGTTGAAATAAAATAAGTGACAGCCCCGCTTCTTACCATGATCCTGGTTGAATCCAGCATAGAGGAGCCCATTCCCGTGAGGATTAGATGGCAGTAAATTCATTATCTAACAGGAAAACCGAAATCTAAGGAGCGTTAACAAGTAAATGAATCCTACAGCTGATGCCCGAAGAGCTAACCTGCTAACGCTACCATTCCTACGGTGGAAAAACCACTGAGGCTTGTTCCTGCTTGGAGAGAGCTGTCAGCAGTCATCATGAAAGGGAGTTTCAGTAAACTTCGTTAACATATTAGAAAAAACCTTTTACCCTAAAGTGGTTAATTGAATTCAATAATGGTTTTATCTAAATGTAAACATATTTTATTGCTTTTGAGGCAATCACTGATCAAAGAAGATGTTTATATATAAACTGCCGTTATCGATGATTTAATAAAGATTATCTGTTAAGTGTCGATTACTGAGTGGATTGCCAGTTTTTTTTTATATGTGAGTGAAAATAACGTGCGATATCAGGTAAATATGACAAAAATTATCCTTTTTGGATTAATCCAAGATAGACTACATAGGAGTAAAGAACAGTGTACAAAACCGTTCCGCAAGCAGCCCCAGTGGCCTAATGGATAAGGCACTGGCCTCCTAAGCCAGGGATTGTGGGTTCGAGTCCCATCTGGGGTGGT